ATAAAGTTTAGTTACTTGTTATCTGGACTCGACTTTTATTTATTACTTTTAATGAATCATTAAAAGTGAATTAGTTTAGATTATTCGAAAAGGATTTGTTTAAACTGTTTAACATTTTGATAAATGAAGGGCAGAAGACTTAATGAGAAATTAAAACTTGTTACTTTTAAAATGTATTTTGTTAATTTCTTAGTAAATAATTATAAAATAATTTGAAATTTAACTTAATTATAATTATATTTATTAATAATATTACTTTTAAAATATAAAATCGTAAAATGACCGAGTGGATAAAAGTACTGGATGACCACGTGGAGTTTTCTGCTTTTTCTTTGCGTATCTAACACTTAAATAGAGGCAAGCTTCTCGTAGAAAGTCCTTCAAAGAGGCATCCCCTTGGTAGATCATTGCCTTTATAACACCTAGAGACCATCTCCTTGGTAAATCATTCGCGTGTTGCGTTGCCTTATCTCATCATAGTTTGTTGTGTTTGCACCTAATTAAAGGAATGATCACGTGGAATTTTCCGGATTTTCTTCGCGTGTCTAACACCTAAATAGTGCCAGTTCCCCACAGAAAATCCCCTTTAAGCAATTGTGTTTAATGTAAACTGCAATCCTGATTCAGGTTCTTAATGAACTTAACGAAATAATAAATAAACAAAAGTACGTTTTAAATGAAATAATTCGTATTATTTACTTTTAATTCTTATTATTAAAGGAAATATTAAAAGTAGGAAATGTAACCTATGAGGAAAGGAAAAGGCAATATCCTGGTTACAAATGATTAATAATATTCTATAAAATGCTTTACGATTGAGAATAAAACAATATAAAACGAGCAATTATTTATTGTGATATCTTCATAATGCCAAGCTGAAATTTTTAATCATATTTTTTAATTTATTTAATTTAAAATATACGCTCTCTACCTCAAATTAGTAGTAGCTTGCCCCTGTACAGTACATCATACTTTTCCGTTAACAATAGAGTCGTGCCGATTACCTTTCAGGAAAAAGATTTAAATTGAAATAATATGGCTCCTGGTTTGCATCGGAAGCTCTTGAAGTCTCCTGAAATTAAGGAAAGACAGACGGACAAACGGACGGACGACAGTGGAAATTTATAAGTCTACAATTTTTTCAAATTGCAGCCCAATAAGAAATAAGAAAGAATATTGCCTATATTGATTAAATAGCCAGAGACATCAGCATATTAAAGCTATGTAGCCTTAATATTCTTGCTATAATTACGCCATTGTAGGAGGGTCCCACTGCAATGGAGCCCGCCATCTTAACTACTTGGCCATCCTGCTGTCTGTTATATAATTTTATGCTTATCTTTTCTGTATTTTTCTGAAATATTCGCTTAGAAAAATGTTTAGAAAAATGCAAAGAACAGAAGGAACCGAAGCAGAATTTTCTGAAATGAGAAGAATATAGATACAGAGCAGACAAGTTCTTTTCGTAGAATCTAATAGTTTATTATTGGAACAATCGAGGATCACGCTTGATTTTTATTTGTACAAAATAGGCCGTGCACACGAAGATTTAGATGTTTATCCTCTACTATTTGAGAAGAATAAAAAGTTAAATGAGATCAAAATATTGATTTTATATTAAATTAGCAATACTTTAACTTATATTGAACGAAAGAGTCGATTTCACTTCGGTCCATAGTTTGAAATTCTAATGTGTCCCTCTTCTTATTCCAACACTACCATCACAAAGAACGAAACTTGCATCACCAAAAGAGCCTTTAGCCCTTCACTAAAAAATAATCATCTTATCCGTAATTAAAGCAATTATTTTTATCATGGGTCGTTAGGCTTTTTGCTTGACACGTTCGGGCTCTTGTTGGCTCCGAGGCATGGTTTGGCATTACCACTTTGCTTCATTATTATACCGTTTCTAAAGCACTCAACTTATACACAATTTATTAACAAAAACAATTATTTACTTGGACATGTGTGAATAGAGAGAAAAATTGTAATTTCGAAACTTGACAACGTTTTTTGCTCGTTCTTTTTCAAGCTTTGGTGATTTACAAATTTCAGTACAAAGAATTTTACCAATCTCCCGAATCCAATTAAAATCGCAAAAATTTAATATTGATTAAATTAAATAATATGTAAAACAAAATTTAAAGAATGAACACCAACTAACAGAGTTCAGTGGATAAACATCACTGAACACTGTTAGTTGGTCACGGGTTTGCACTTTAGTAATGGGCAGGCCGTGCTGAATTTTCTGGGTTTTCTTTACGTGCCTAACATCTAAACTCTATACAGGAGTCAATTTTCAATAAAAAGTCCTCTCGGGGAACTCCTCTGGTAGATCGCTCTTGACAGACGTATTGCTTTGTCTTATTCCATCAATTCCTTATTAAAAAATTATGTTAAAATCAAGAAGAATATCGAATTTTCATATTTTCAAGAACAATCAGAGATTCTAAAACCTCCATTGACCCTGAAGAATTTCAGATGAACAGGTTTGAAAATGATGTTCACCGGATCAAGCTGATTGTGATAATGGAGATGACATCCAAATTCAAATTATTATTAAGACTTCAAAATATAATTCAGAAAATTCAAGGAAAGATCACAAGATAAAAAAAAAACATGCTAATCTTGTTTGAAAATTCAAAATTTTTTTTTGTTTAGATAATTTTTATGGTCTTTGAAAAGAAGAAAAATAATGGAAACAGGCGATAAGCAGAAAATATTTCAAGAAATGTGAGTGAAGAGGCAAGTACTGAAGAAACATTCGAAAATAGTTGCAGACTGAGGGAATATACAGTAGGGAAAGGTGGTGCAAGATGGGGTCATGGGATAAGACAGGGACGTCTGTTTATTTGTGGTTAATGTTCTTTTATCCAGCTGTTATTTGGGGAACTAAATGTCTACCTCAAAAGGGATCATGGAGCAAGAGAACGTCCAAATCGCTCTCTTTGTTTGGAAGTAAGATACGTTTATCATGTTTCAACAATACTTCATCTAATTTTATGCCTGCTAAAAGTTTCTACAGAGTAAGTATCATTGTGAACTTTTACATTACATTTCAGATGAAGATATTATGGTATTCGAAGTAACCTTTAAGACTATAATTGTTTAGTTTTGAAATGAAGTTTACGTGTGTTTGCAGTCAGTATGGAAAGTGTACATTGGGAGCAAGATGGGGTACCCTTCTAGCCCCAGGTTGACCATGAATATGGCCTATGAATCCAGAAGTATTTTCGGAGGCAGACTTTATTGCTGCAGCGAGGACAAACAGGCCCCTTCAGCAAGGGTAGGCCTAACAAGAAACAAAAGACAAATGACACAGAATGCCTCTATTGTGGAAAGTTATACTCCGTATCTGCAGAGAGTTGGGCTAAATGTAGCCGTTGTGACTGTTCTTGTGCCAATATTGAAGAAAACGACATTTTAACCATTTTAATTTGTCCTTCTTGTGTATAAAAATAATATCCCCATCTTACCTCATGGGTGGGGCAAGATGGTGCATTTACATATAATTTTAAAATATTAAATTTTCTTGTTTTTAAAAACGTTTTTCGAAAATTAAATTTTGTATTATATATTACCAAATGTTGCAGTTGCTGAGAATAAAAAAATTATTGTTCTCATTAAAGTGGTTGCCATCTTATGACTTTTCAAACCTTAACGTTCTCATCTTGCCTCGCCTTCCCCTACTTCTTATGACTCCAAACATTCAATCAATGCTTTGTCTAAAATAAACAATGACAATGTCTTCTATTATGTGACTAACAAATGGATATTTTCAGATGAAACAAAAGATAAAGAATAAGATCAGTGGAGAAAAATGTTGAAAGTGCCAACAATTCTGAATTTTTACTTTGGAACTTTCTGATAAATCTTCTATGGATTCGACAAGAGAAAACTGTAATGTCTTAAAAGAAAAAACAGAATTTAAACTAAGCATAAGCGCATCAGTACCCTTATTTTCATACAAGAATGAAACAGCATTGGAAGGTTTATCACAGATAAATAGTGAAAAATTGGAAACTTGAACAAATATATTTCGAAGGAATTCATTTATCAATTCAATGTTAGAATGGTTCAATACCAAGGCGAAAAGAGAGTTTTGTAAAGAGAAACTCACAAATTCCCATCCAATTCGATATTGTAAATGTAAGAAGATCGATCGATCTCGATCTGCGAAACCCAAGTGCGTTATACCCATAGGAGATAGAGCAGAGATACGAAATGAATCGGCCAGAAAATCGAAAATCGACCCGATCCATTGATATAAGTTACAGAAAATCATTTATTGCTTAATTAATTAAAGCAAATAAATAATTTAGTCCAAAGTTTTGCTTGAAATAATGAAGTACTTGAATGAAATTGAAGAAAAATGAAAATATCCGGATGCCAAACGGATCGAAAAGCATTTTAAATTAAATTTCAGCTCAATGATATAGCAAAGATCAAACTGATATCGTGTATCTTCAAATTTTCAATTACAATGCTTAAGATTAATAAACATATTTTCATTTTTGGCAGTAAAAGAGCCTTTTTTTTTTTCCGTATGCGAGTTTGGTCGGGCCCGCAATGGGGTGAAGCGATGACGATGTTCGGGGTCCATCTTATCGAGACCGACCGCCCATGAAAATTTTTCGGGAGTTGCTCTCCCGGATACGATGACGGATGACCCAGAAAAATAAACCGACACCTTAATTACTTGGTCCATCCAGGCGGCATTGGAAAAGATTTAAATTACGAAAAAAGTAATTATTTATAAAAATCTGAAATTACAGCGCTTCACAGGAAAAATATCAAAAAAGAGCAAAAACTTTTTTAACCACTAAAAATTTTTATTATAACTTTTTAATAATAAGAAAAACATTTCATACATAAAAATTAGAAACATTATTAATGTTTACAATTAATAATAATAATAAAAACGTAAATTTAATACAGAATAGGCTTAATTCACTGCCGACGGAACGTAAACAAAATGCAACGCCCTCTATCCGCGTCGTAGAGAAACCGAGCAATAATTTTTATAATTTATTTTTTTATTTTTTATTTTTTATCGGAGCCGTTCTGGTTAACGTCGGAAGAATTATCAAGGTTTATGAATTTTTTCCTTCTTTCTCCAATCTAAAACATAAAAGTAACTTAAAATTAAAGCGAGGATTAAATACGAAGATGTGAAGAAAAGTGAAATTTTTAATTAACCAGGTTAGTGTGTCGCTCGTAGCGTTTATCGGATCGTCTGGATGCTACGGAATCCTACGGGATTGCAAGTCCAACTTTTATTTATTTATTTTTTATATAAGAAAAAATATATATATATATAAATGTATTTATAAAGCTTGGTAGTGAGAAATCTGGTATCGTCAATGGCGCAGTTAAGTATCGAGACGAAGGTCGATGCTAAATTATCCTTTAAAATCCTATTACGAGTACGTAATGAGTCGATTATACTTTTATACGAGAAAGCTCGAGCTTTAATGCATGCTTTTACTTAAAAATATGCTATAAATGGACGTATATGCATTTTAAACTTGCACAACTTTCGATTATATTTTGAATGAAAGCCAATTTTAACTTATTTTCGTATCGTCAACATAATTTTTTTTTCTTTTTTCTTTTTGTTTTTGCTTCGTGTGGGTGCTGCAATTTGCATAAATTTACAATGGATGTGACTACAATTGCAGTGTTGTTTGTGTGCGTTTATTCTGGGTTGTTTCTTGGATTAAATGCATGTAAATTAATGCGTTTCTTAATAATAATGTATTTTTTTTAGGATCTTGTGGGTTCCACCAAACGGGACAGTCGGAGCCGTAGACCTTCGGACAGATATGGCCCGCTTTCGGGAGTTGTGTCGTTCCGTCCCGCTGGGATCGTGGTGTTTAACTATTTAGCCGGCTTTGAGTGGCCCGCTTGACTGTTAGCGGAGTGCTCGATGTTATATAGTTTTAGGGGATGTGTTTTGGGCTTGCCCCACCTGGGCACTAAGGTGCCGGCTGTAGTTTTGCACCAAAGTGCACGACTGTGCGCAGAGTGATGCGGAGTGTGGAAAATAGTATATCGGTATCTGGTAAAAGCCAACCTTTGGAGATGAATGTCTTGTCGGGGATTGCATTTATGGATGTGGTTTTGTTGACTTTTTTGTCTATAACTCTGGGGCGACGAATCTGTCTTTCGGGGTTTGTGTCTTACCGTTTTACAGCCTTCTCTTGTTTTTGCTGCGCTTACTAGATTTTGTTTGGGAATTATTGATATCTGCTTACCTTATCTTTGTTATCTGTTTGTGGAATTAATGCAGTTTGAGTTATCTGTCTTGTGCTATTGAGTTATCTATGCTGTGTCTATAGAGAAGGGCAGAGAGAATAAGTTATATTGTAAATGAGTAACTCTGCTAAGAACTTCTAATCGATGCTGGATTGCTCTCTTGGCATGTGAGGCATGTGCCTAGAGGACCAAAGTATGAAAAAAAAGGCAATTTTACTGTTGCATTTATAGATCTCCGGGCTTTCTAAGTACTTTGGGATACAGAAAGATACTAAGTAATATACTGAAGACTTTCTAAATACTATTTAATGATACAGAATCTGTATTGCTTGCTTGAAATGTGTATCATAATTTATAGATAATTCTGTAGCTATAATTAAACATTATTAGTTTACAGTGTTGTAAAATTATGTAAAGGGATTCCCAATCTTCTGATTCTAGGAGTTCCGGAAGACCTTAATCCACCACTGCTACTAATACATTTATTATTAAGTATATTAATATAATATATATATATAATGCATATACTGTATACACTATTTCAAGCATAATGAATTTACAGTATGTTGCTGCTCCTCTGTGCATAGTGCATAATGATTTAAAAATAACAAAAATCTTTTATAGATCTGGTACATTTTATTAAAAACTACAGATATAAGTATATTTTTTTTGACCTATATAAAACCCATTATCAGGCTTTTTATTTGATAACAACATTTTTAAGTTGTTGAATAATTAGCCAAATTAAAATTCATTTTAAATGTGATATTTTTGTTCAATTGTTATGTATGTTATCAATAATAAACAACTGATTTATTTTGAAATAAATCAGTTGTTTATTATTGATCAGCACTAGTGAGTTTTCAGTGTGTGCTGTTATATTAAAACCACATTAATTATTAATTGCTGATCAGCAAGAATGATAAGTTTTTATATTTCTTCACTCTTCTGGGTATGAATTGCTTCACTTATCATGGATGACTTTCATTTTTATATAATAGTGACTAACAGTTTATGAAAATTTGTGGTTAGTGCAATGCTTTAGATGCAATAGAAAAATATTAACAAGGATTTAGTACTTTTGTCCTAATAAATTAAAATTTTTATTTTATGTACAAAACATAAATATTGATATATAAAAACAAATTTCAGGAAATAGACATTTAGTTAAATAAAATTACTTGATAGAAGAAATTTTTGTAAATCAGTCATTTGTTTATTGATAAATAAAGTATTTCTGAGCCATTTGTGGGGATGAATAAGCTATTTTAGAACAAGATCATGCATTTATTCATTATAGAACATTGAGGGAAGTAAAATACCAATGAAATATAAAAAAATATGTTGCATTTTTCATGAGTTTGAGTTTAATTGGTACTATAGAATGTGAATATTTTATAAATGTTTGATTTATTATAATTATTATTATTAATATTTTGATTATAATGAATGTTGAACAGTTTTAATATTTAATTTTGTTATCCAGTACTAGCATGTTATGCAAGTTGTGATAATGATTGTGTAATCTTAACAATTAGTTATTTTTCTGTTTTCATTACAATAAATAATTTGCATATCAGTTAAAAAAGTAAAATATAATATTAACATTATAGATTATATAATTATTAGTATTAATACTAGATAACAAGGAAGTAAAGTGATAAAATTTCAATTATTTTAATCTGTTAAGTTACTCCATAAAATACAATCCAAGTCAAACTACATTTTTTCTTTTTTTTTTGGAGTGAAAGCTTTTTTAGAAAGCAAGCATCATCAGGAGCAACAAGAGAAATAAAGATTAAGAGATAATGCTAAACAAAACTGTAACATCATTCTTATTGGGACAAGTGTAAATAAATAAAGTGAGGAGGCATTCTTACAACTACTTCATGACACAAGTGGGAAGTTAACAAACACAAGAAACATTATAATAATTATGTCAGCATGAAATATGAGACAGGAGTCATTCCTGAAAGTGTTTGAGTTTTATACTGTATAAAGTTTGTGCTCAGAGAAAAATAGCTGAATTGGATTGTAATCTGTATTTTATTGTGTTTTTAAAAGTTTTATTAATTATATTTATGAGTATTAAGAGCTTTATACTAAAAAAAAAAATAACAATAATACAAAAAATTTATTTTCATTAATAACCCTATAATTTATTTCAAATTTCATTGCAATATAAAACAAACATGAAAAGTCAGTTCTCTTTGTATTACATATACTGTATATGAATATGTTTACAATGATAGTCCTTGTAGATGGCAGGTCATGTAAACCTCAAGGCCTTAAACAAGAATAATAATAAGAGTTACATGTATATAGAAAAGTATCTTACTTATTTGGTCAATGCATAAAAGTTTATGCTTGTGTTTTGTCTTAGAGAACATTATAAAACCATTTTGTTGCCTTTGAATTATAAGCAGGCTTCATTTTATGGGTGTACAAAGTTTAATGCAAGTGATATTATTATTAACCTACATTGTAAATATCTTCAGTTACGTTGGTTTAGTTAATATATAATTGCATTTTCATTTGAGTTATTTTTGGGCACAGAATTTTAATTTGTGGTTTTTAAAGTATTCAGAATTCAAATTTTGTTATGTAAGTACGATCCTTGATTAAACATTTATAAATTTATAGTAAGATCTATTATAGAAATCCTTACAATAGTATCTTCAACAAAAGGCAAAATTCTGATATCTGTTAATGAAAGTAATGACATAAATTTAATTATAATGTTTTAATTATTTTGGATTGTATAAGATACTGTTTCTGTCTTGTCTGTATCTAAAAACTCATTGTGATACTAACGGTCAAAATAAAGATAAATAATGTAGTAGACTTGCTTTATAGTGATACTTGATTTAGTGATTTGCCATGATACAACAACCAATAATGTCACAGCCATTCTCCTGTAAGGTGTTTTTTAAGGGGTAAAACATTAGGAAGTGGTGCATGCTGTTTCTTTTTTGTGATGGATTGTGAAAAGTGGCATTCAAAAAGAACTTTTCATTGTAAGATTTGTTACAATATTTCATTAGAGAAACACAATCGTCAAAGTTTTCATAATGATGTTTTACTGCCAATACTACAACCCTGTAAATGATCAGAATCTCATTAGCTACTTTTTTGTAACACTGAATTGACAAACCTGGGAGAAAAAAACAGACCATCTTCTTGTTAAAATACATCTTAACATTTTTCAGAATCAAAATAACATTTATTATATACTGTGTAAATAAATATAATTTCACTAAAGAATTAAATGGAAAAAATTACAGTATGTAAATAACTAAATATGATGATAAATTGCTGCAGTTTCTACCAAAACATGATGATAGATTCCATAATAATAAAGCTCATGTGCATTTATAGAATCTAACAACTCATTTAATTATTTGTTTTTTCATTTTTCTGATTCAACTGTATTTTAATTATTAGAAATGAAGGACGTCATTTCATAAAGAGTTTTATAACATTATGAGAGCAATTTTGACTAAATTGTGGTAAATGATAGAACACTGAAGTGCCTTTAGTACTAGAATATTAGAATTTTTTACACTGAAAATAGAGTAAACAACGAAAAGAGATTTTCTTTAACTTTTGATTAATGTGGTTAATTAATCTCTCGATCCTCCCGCATATATCAAAATTGCATTAATCAAAATATGGTATTTATGTTAAGTAAAGCCACATAAATTAAAACTTCTGCTGCATATATAAAGGGATTGCTGCAATTAATTTTACACATTAATCAAATCCTGCTTAAGCAAGGGATACTTGTATTTTTGTTTTGAGAATTTTTGAAAAATTTTAATACAGAGGAACCTTGCTTAACAAGCATAATTTATTACAGAATCTTACTCGTAATGCAAAACACTTGTTAAGCAAAACAGTTTTTCCCATATAAATTAATGTAAAACACGATAATATGTTCCATT